TCCAATGTCTTATCTTTATTTTCAAATGGATTTTTATTCATAAGGACATATCAAACAAACAACTATCCGACTATGTTCAGTAAAACTCCCAGCTAAATCATCATTGTAGAAATGCGGTTTATCTGCTGTTTTCCAACAATTAGTCACCTGGTCCTTTTTATCCCATAGTCGGGGTAGAATTGGTCAGCCAGGGGAAGAACAGATCCAAAGTTTTATTAATATTTTCAAAGAGATTTTTTTCTTCAAACAGACATATCAAACAAACAACTATCTGACTATGTTCAGTAAAACTCCCAGCTAAATCATCATTGTAGAAATGCATTTTTCAAAAAAAAATTCACCTGATCCTTCTCACTCCATAGGCGGGGTAAATTGAGACGGCCAGAGGGCAAACACGTCCAATGCCTGATTTAGATATTAAAAATGTTTCACATAAAAATAGCTGCATTATTCAACCATGCAAAATATAAATTTTATAGGTGCATTTTTTTTTCAGAGATAACACTGTAAATAATCATGATCTGGTATTTCGTCAGAAATGTTCATCAGCAGAGTTGGAATAACTAATTATTTAATTTATCCCTGGTTAAATTGCTCCTTTTCTTAATTTACTTTTTTTTCATTTTTCACATATTTGCCAAGGTAAGAGTTCAGTTAGTCCTTTTTATGCCACTCAGATGTATGCCTTTATAGAGGTTATATAAAAAAAAAGTTGAATCAAACTTAAAAATAACAATACATCTTATAAAGTATACTTAAATATATTCATCTTATAAAATAAATAAAGTATACTCAAAAATTATACTAAGGTCTCATAAACTAAACCACAGCGCTTACAATCAAAAAAACTTTTGAAACTAAAGAAAAATACTTTTGTTGCAGATTTTCAAACTATGTAGGTGGTGGCGAGTTGTACCTATTTTTCCCTCTATTTTCAAATATTGTTTTAAAAATTTTTTTAACTCTACTTGTTTTTGGGATAACAGTGATGGACCTTTTTACCCGCGTACCTTTGAACCCTGCTCTACATATGATATTAATAATATTTGTTACACTAAATTTATTTAGCTTTCATGTAAAAATATATAAGCGTCGTCGTCCAATTTATAAGCTTTTATATTTTGACAGTATTTATAATTATATATTTGAAATCATTTAATATTCCTTGAATATTTTATTACGGTAAGGAAAGTTCCAGCAATTTGTCATAAGGCACGATGCCATACACACCACTAGTTTTATTATTCGATTTGGCCAAAATAATATAATCCCATACACCATTATTTTGCACTTGATATATGTTTACATGAAAACTTAAATAAGCGAAGTTAGAATTAAAGAACCTTATCTCATTTTTGTAAGAATTATAAAAATTTATTTCAAGTGAGTATAAGTGAGCTTTAAGATTCTAGCTAAAAATAAAATTAAAATCCTTTTCGATATTCGATATTAGTTTTGAAATATTTTTTTTAAAATAATCCGCAAAACTAATCGTTTCTTCACAAGCAAAATGTTCTACCCTATGGGTAGTTAAAAAATACAAAAATACAGTATCATCTGACCATTGGCAGTGATTTTGAGCTTGACAGATTATTACTGCTACCTAGTTAAAGTAAATGCACGTTTTATTTATCCACAATATTTATCTAGATTTAATCCGAAATTAATTCAATACCCTGCCATAACAATATCATTAAAATTTGAAATAGCGTCAGGGCGAGCTTTTAGCCCGAGTACTCAAGTAGTATGGTAATTGATCTCACCTTCTAATTAATATGCACGGCATTTAGATCCGTAAGCTCTCGTTTTATACCGAGAAGCTTCATTTAATAGAATAATAAACTCTGTTTGAGCACGTTAAATAAACTCTAGTTTGCCATGATATACTTTATAGTTATTAAAGTTATGTAATTAAAATCGTTTCAGTATTATGTTATATGGGCAACTCTGGCGTTCGCGGAAAATGCACAAAAGACACAATGTGCACACTAGTGCTCGTTATAATTAGAAGCAAACATATGTTCCTGTATACCTCTATTAGAACAAATGAATAACTTTTAGGCCATGATTCATTACCCACGTGCATCTATTCGATAATAATAGATACAGTAATTTCATATGTTCTTAGCTGGATTGTGTTACGGCTTCGTTAATAATTCAATAGGAAAACTATTTTAGACTCATAATCTTCTAATTGGCATCGAATGTCAAGCAATACTATAAATGAATTATGATTTGTAAAATATTACAATTCGTAGTAGGATACTTGGTACTAAGTTTTATGATATTTATAACTTTTTACTTTATTATGACTTTACAAATGTCAACTAGATGATTTAAAGCGAACTATAATACTGATATATGTGTTTTAGAATTAATACGCTTAAATAATAAATACGCAATATTTTATGAAAATGAGCCCATCCGCAGTTTTTAATCATTACTATTAACAATATGATTAAAATTAAAAATTATATTTCTTTGACTAAAAGTTAAAGTAATAAATTAGAAGTCAGACAAAGTGATAAAATTTGAAGCAAAAGTTAACATACTGGATGTTGTCTATAGGTGACACTCATACACACATGTGGATTTTGCTCATAGCGAAAGGGTTAAAGTAAGGATTAAACTTGTATAATGTAAGATATATAAATGCAGATTTGAAATGATTCGAAAATGAAAATTTTTATATATCTTTACGTTTCAAAGCTTTCTGAATATTTTTGCATATCTTAAAAAAATGGATGTATGTATGTGTGTGTGTGTGCGTGTATGTGTGTGTGCGAATACAAATTTTCGTCGACGGTTTTCGGAACACGGATGAAGCGATTTGAATAATTTAAAAAACATTCGATTCGTATTGATCAGGAGACGTGCTGATTAGTTTTTGGCGAAGACAGGTCTAGCCGTTTTGAAGATATGGGGCAAAAAGTGCCAAAAACGGTAACTCAGTTTTTAAGAGAACGGAGCGTCCGATTTTAATAATTCAAAAAACATTTTACTTGTATTAATAAGATGAAGAATTGATCAAATTTTCATGAAGGCATCTCTAGCGGTTTCGGAGATCTAATGCAAAAAGTAAAAAAAAATGCCATTTGGCGGTCAAAAATAATCATTAGACATATGCACATCAAATTATCAGATATTTTATAGAGATTTTAACAATAAATTTGTTTACATTCCTATAGGTTCCGTACCGATGTTTATCTGTTAGACGCCGACGCGGCGCTTACGCGCTTTGGCATTTCGTCTCTATGCAGTTAAGCAGTACGATTGCTTTGAAAAAAAGTTCAGAATTTCAAAAATATGTCAAAATAAAGAAAACATCTTTTTTTTAAAAAAAAGTAAATTTTTGTCAAATTTATATTTTCTCAAAAATCTAATTTTTTCGAAGGAAAATTTTCTCAAAAATGTTAATAGTTTTTAAAAAAATAATAATTTTTGGTACGGCAAGTTCCAGCAATTTGCCTTGAGGCACGATGCCATATTGCACTAGATATTTTTTATTACTCAGATGCTTGAGACTTTATTAACGTTGATAAGATAATTTAAAGTAAAGTATTAATGCATGTTTTTTTAAATATTTTATACATATTTCAAAATTTTTAATTATTATCAATAGAAATATGATTAAGAATTAAAAATTATGCTTTTATGGAACTAAACGTTACAATAAAACATTATTGTCCCTGTGAAATAAATGTACAGAAAGTCAAATCCACCTGTTAAAATCGGTGTTTATATCACAAGGTCTATGCATATGACATTTAATCAATCGAAGGTGTTCCACGATTGTCGGCAACGCTCGTTCACTAAGAACTACATCAGCGACTAGCGGACTAGCGACCAAAACTATATATGATTTTATCATACAGACATTGATTTTAATTTTAAATTACTAGAATACGTTTTATATATTTTTTGTAAGTAGTTAGACAATAAAAATTTATGGTGCATTTATTCAATTTTCTCTTAAAATTGCAGTATTTTTATAATATTGCAGAAAATCCTAATACACTTCGCGTCTTTTCAATTTGCGTCGCAACTTTTTTTTGGAACGTGACCAAAGTGATTCTGTGTGCACCTTGTAAATAATAATATATGTTTTGAATTAAAATAATTATTATAAAATGCTTGCGAATGATTGATAAAAAAACTAATTAATGACTAAAATGAAAATATATAAGATACTAGGATTTATTGTTGATCTTCTTTGAAGTAACTTTTGGTAGGTAAAACGTATAAAAATGTAAGTGTCTGTTTAAAGTATTTTATAAGTTTTATATATATTTAGGTATATATATATATATATATATATATATGCTTTATTAGGATACAAAATTGTAAGTGTTTTATTACTATTATCATTATTATTGTTTTTCCATGAAATTTCCTTTCATATAATTTATTTAGTTTCAATTTTTATAGTTAACTTGATTACCACTGAATGATGGCTAAGATGCTAGCCGAAACGTATGGATTTTAAATAAATAAATTTAAAAAAAAAACTCATACTATTTTTATTGATGTTACGCCCGAATATTAAACTCAAATTAAACATATTATATATATATATATATATATATATATATATATATATATATATATGTATGTATATATATGTATGTATATATATATATATATATATATATATAAATTGCACGAATATACGGCAGTTTTAAGTACGAAACTTAGTTAACTTTGATAGTCTAACAAGTACAAGGGCAAAGTAGTTTAACCCAGAACAATCACCACTGCAGCAATATCATGTAGTCATATTACATCATCAGAAGATACCGCAAATTATACAGGGCTCTCAGTGCATAAGTCGAAGATTGTACACTATCTACTTGTTTTATAGTTTCTTTCACAAGAAATAACATATCAATGTTGTTATAAAAAGCTAGTGTTTTCATGCGACCTTTATGCCCCGCCCTATCCTATATCATTATTTTACCTGCATATGTTTATCAAACTAATTCCTGAATTTTTTTTATTAGGGCGCTGGTTCGACCCTTGTGGCTGGTCCCACAATGTCTCCGTTGAATCCCGCGGCAAGTGGAGCGGTGGCGGCAAGTTCGGCAGCCAGCGGCGGTATTGCTGCAGCAGTGGTCACGGTTATCGGGCGGCCGTTGCCGACACTCAGTGAAACTACGACAGCTTTCACAAATGTTAGCAGCACCAACAGCAGCCCAGAAAAAGGAAGTCTTGGTAATGGCATAGAACCAGAAGCAATTACAGGTAGGAGATGTAATTTATTGTTGGATGTAGATTTATATTTGGCATTTTACCATGCGCACACACTATTTAAATAGTAAAAATTAAAAGACTGAATTTGCCGTAAAATAGGCCAATGTTATGTAGCGCTTCTCATACAAAATGGTACTAAATACTGTGGAACAGTCATGTATTTGCTGTGCGAACATTACACATAATATGCAACTTCACTCATATGTCACTGATCTAGTTCAATTAATAAATCAAACATTCAAGTTGTGATATGATGTATGTTAGTCATATTTAATTTTTTTTTTTCAAGTGTTATTCATACATTGAAAACAGGTATTTTCCACTAAAAAATTGGTTTTTGGATTTCATAACTTTTCTCCTGAAAAAGCAGTTTCCAGGAAAACTGCAGAACATCAAATAAATTTACATTATGTACCTCGCATAAAACCATAATAATCATACACTCTTAGTCATTAGTCACTTAACACGTTTGCGGACGTGAATGCTATAGCATTTATTTTCATTGTGATGCAGAATTCCATAAATTCTATGTCAAATTGCTCAAATTTTAAAGTCATTTTATATAACCTTACGTTTTTGTATTTATTATACCTGTTAAGATAATAACTAAGGGTTTGTTGGTTTTCAAAAACCGGTTTTAAAACCCGGTTTTTTGACGAAAATTATGGAAGTAGAAAACCGGTTTATAGTAAAAAAGGTTAGTTTTCACTGTATAAATGAAAAATAACAAATATAGTCAAATATAAAAGATAGTAGCAAGCTGGTAAAATTAAAATTCGAAAACCGGTTTTCTGAAATGTCGGTTTTTGTATAAACCCTAATAATAACTGATTCTTCAAGTATTTTTGTATTATATTTTTTTTCACGTAGTCACTAATTAGTTTGGGTAAGCAAATTGCGTAAAATAGAAGTGTAATACTTTTGTTATTAAATTTTATTTTCATTCTGAAATCTATAAACAACCTGCCTAACCAACTAGCTTGTCATTTATACCAGGAAGGCCAACCGACCAAGCTCAAAAATAAAATACCTGGAGATCTAATATAGTTTATTTATAGTTTTTTTATGTCTTTAGTGTTTTTTATATTAGTTCTAGTGGCGTATGTACTAATTTATAGACAATCATTAGTTAACAACTTGTCAGCATTCTCTGCTAAAATGTAATACTTGAGGTGCATGCCATAGCGTATATATGACTACCCTTATAAACGGTATTTAATAAAATTTCCGAAATCAAAACAAATTTAAATATAAAACGACTTTGCTAAAACTTTTACTGTCTGTGAACGTAACGTAAAATCATTACTTTTCACTTGTTCATCTATGTCACTTACCTAGTTTAAATAATAAATCAAACTTTCAAGTTGGGATATGCAGTATGTTACAAGTGATATTGTATGATTATTACCACATACTATTTTAATGTAAGTGGCCAATTTCACTGAATTCCGAGTAAAGTCTATAAATTTTCGTTTCCGAATCGCAGGAGCAGATTACAGCCAGCAGTACGGGCAACAGTACCAGAAGTACCAACAGCGGGTTATCAAACGGAAGTCGAGAGACGCAGCAGACTCGAAGCGAGAGCGGAAAGCTGCCAAAACTTTAGTGATTATCACTGGCGCCTTTGTGTTCTGCTGGTTGCCGTTCTTTGTGCTGGCCATCATAATGTCCACATGCTCCACGTGTGATTTAAGCCCGTACTTGATGTCGCTAATGATATGGCTCGGATACTTCAACTCGACTCTGAATCCTATAATTTATACGATTTTCAGTCCGGAGTTCAGGCACGCTTTCAAGCGTCTCTTGTGCGGGAAGAGGTACGGCATGCGTCGAAGAAGACGCCACTTGGGCATCATGAGGCAGCAATAACGAAGCGCGCAGGTCATGCGACCTAGAGCTTCGAGCTTTTGAAAAGGAGCATCGGCCTGCCTACTAACGACTGTCTATTTTGTACAGATAATTTAGTCTATAGTGTAACATGTCGAAGCCTACTTATCATTGGAAACAGGATTTACTACATCTCAAAACAGCCTAAATGTAAATATAGATATTTATGTAATTTTATTACTAAGTCGTTTTCGAAACTATATTGCATGAACATTTCCAATCCAATAATTTTTATACTTCAGACCCTGTATAATATTTACTAACATTTTAACCAGTTGACTGTGCGAACAGTTTTGTGTCATTACAATCGAGAGAAAATTGTTTAAAACAAGGAAAACCGCAGGTTTACAATTCTGGGATTTTGATGAAACCTTGCATAGTAGAGTTGATGGTCAAACCGAACATCTTAAAATATCATAGGACTATGAGAAGTAGTTTATTTATAAAAGTTAATAATAAATACGTACAGTGGACCACATTACAGTGCTTCAGTAGCTCAGTCAATTCAAATTTGCTTCTAATTTTTGCGCCTAGATTCATGGATAATAGTCCAGTCATTTAAGCTTAAATAAGGTACGTACACTCTACCATATGTAGGTTTTGAGACAACTTTTAGGGTGCTACTTTAGGGTATTCACAGACTTTGCAACTATAGTATTTCGAATTCCGAGGTGAACTAGCTACAATGACTGCACTATAAGAAAATTAAAAATGATCTAGGTCAAATCCAGACAGGGTATAATTTTTTTATTTATATATTCTAATTCTGAAATTTAATGTTTCAATGGCTAAATATTGCAAAAATAATTAAAATCATTAACTCTATATGCGTTGAGTTTGCGAACAAAAAAATGATATTATTGAAACAAATTTATTCACATTGAATATTATTAATAAAGAAATTTTATTTACAAATGAAATATATTATTAATTAAGATAATATACTACTCTTCAGTTTAATTGATTTTTCATGTGTATATTTGCTAACAATTATGAATTTTACGCATAAAAAATAGACGTCGTTAAAGAAATAGACGACGAACTCATATAATATAGATACCTATAGTTTTGTTTCAAATCTATCAATTTATGCAAATTTTTTTTTCGCAAAATATATGCTTTTGAGGCGATAATTTCCTTAAATCAGTTTTTATTCCCATTATATTTACTACATTAAAAAATCAAACTTATATGATCTGTGAAACACGGTTAAATAACGATCGACATGTAATACAATTTTTTTTATTGAATGAATTGAATGATTTATTTGCGCGAATTTATGACCAAGATAACTATGCAATACGGATGAATTTATAATTAGAAAATAATTGAAAGGTACAAATGTACTTGTAAAAAAATGTCTAATATATATGTCTTGTTGTAAAAAAAATAATATAGTTAAAGTAAATAATATAGAAATCATAAAAATATTTAAAACAAATTCTTAATAAAATAATAATGAATATTTCCAAAAAAAATATTAACATATGCAATGAGTTAAAAATTACGAATATTTTTGCAGTATTTAACTATTGAAACAACTAATAAATAAAAGAATATAACAAAATAAATTACACCCGCGGTTTCCAAACTGTGGGGTGCGCTCCCCTGAGAGGGAAGCCTGACTGTTAGAAGGGGGACTCATACATCTGTTTCTCAAATACTATTATCAAAATAAACCAAATTTTTTTACATGATATTAAGAAAAACAAAAAATAATTAGTTTTCATGCAAATTTTTACATAATGTTGCATATTAATGTTTAGTCTTGATAATATCAGTGGGGTATTTATGAAATTAAATTGTTGAACAAATTAAGAGGAGTGCATCAAGTTTTTTATTAGAGAGGAGGGGCGCGGTGCAAAATGGTTGGAAGGTACTTAAATATACTTTTAACTTTCTTATCTATAAATCCAAGTGCAAAAAGTTGAAGCAAGCCTTAAACTGACTGAGCTACCGAGATATATTAATATGGAGCACTGTATGCGTTTGTCTATTTTTCAAGAGTAATCAATTTTTATAAATAGACCACTTTTCATATGCCTATAATATTTTAAGGTGTTTAGTTTGACTTTAAACTCTATCACCATTCCAAGTTTCATCAAATTCTAGAAGATCAAACCAAATATTCGAATTCGAATTCGAATAATTGATAAAATATGAATTTTGATCAAAATCTATTTGCAATCTATATAGCCAATGGTCAATATACAAAATTCAGACACTTTTCCACAATGAGTATATTCATCAATCATAGTTAACTGGTTAAAAACTTCTTTTATCATGACAACATTAGTTGAAAATAAATAACCTCATATCTTCGACCCAATTAGCTGTATCTTTACATATGAGCACCTTTCAAGCCCAAATTATTTTACAATATTATGTAAAACCTTATGCATTATTATAATTATATTTTATTACATCATCCCTTAGATAAAATTCGTGTTTATTAAATTAGTTATGAACGTTTTAGCTCAGATACTTAGTAAGTTCTCAAAAATATAATTGTGATAATTGTATAGATAAAGTTATGTAAATATCATTAAATATTAATATATGCCCAAGAGGCACTTAAAATATTTAGATTTAAAGTATAATAATGTTTTTTATTGTTCATAATGGATCGAATTATACTAGTTCAGAAGATAAGAAAAATTACTTATGCACATATAAACATGATATCGTCGATAATCTACTTTCAAACAGAACAAAGG